AGGTGTTTTTCTGTATTCGACAAGCCATTTACATAAACTGCGCAACAAGGACGCGAACGCGAGAATTTCGTCAGGCTTTGTGCTGATTTCGCTTTTATTCACTAGCTCGAGATTCACGAACAGAGACAGTATTGTTTTTATAACAACGTGAACACTGTTTTTGACATAGAAACAATTAAAGATGGCAAGCTGTGGATGTGTAGTTCGGGGCTGTGAAAGCTGCGAAATCAAGCTAGCGTCGCAGCCAAATTTTGCGATCCGCTTAATTTCCTACCTGCTATATATATAACTATAAGTGTCAGTGTGCCACACTGCCAGCGCGTGAGGAATGGCGCCAGTCAGTGTTTGCTTGCACATGCTATTTGGACGGAATTTATTAGGAAACTGTCGGCAATATAGGTGAAAAGAGTACTAGAACATTAAGAATTGGTAGCTCTACTAGTCACTATATAGGATTATAGCCCCGCCGTACAGTTGCCGCAGGCCTGCGGCAACTGTACGCGCGGCTATAGCTACTACGCACTAGAGCTACAGAATTTGTAGTAAATAGATTCGGTATTTAGTTAGCATTATAATTTTATTGAACGCTCCAAGTAGCTGTGGGCTGTGGCCGACGTGTGTGACTGCTGTGTGCGCTGTTAGTGTATAGCTGTTCGTGTATAACACAGATACACATTACGTTATTAGCTACACACTGTAGCTTACAGTTACATAGCGGTGTAATGCTTACCTGATGGTTCTTGAATGTACAGCGATCCAGCGTTTCAGCTGCACGCGCCTGCATCAAACGCCAGAAATATAAATCTCACAACACAACAACTTACAGCGGCGGAACCGTGCGCACAACTCGACTTCACCATGCCGTCGCCTGAAGGTGTAATTTTCTGCTTTCTTGCAGGGTCAGGCGTGGCATAGCTCTTATATTAGCCTCTTAGCAGGATCTAGACTGGTACTCGCTCCCACCTCGATTACTCGAAATCTTGGTACCTAGCTGAGAGTGGGACCGGTACACATCTAACCAGGGATTCGCCACCAGCTGCATCCAAGCTCCACGAAAACAGATTTGGCCTCTCGCTCATTGCGGCTGTAATTCTACGACGCGAATCAAGCGCACTGATCTCTAATAATATAATGCTGGATAGAGCATTGGCCCTCACTGATCGCTATAATATAATCGGGATAGGAGCATTCTGCGCCTATCCGCCGCTTAACATGACAGTGACGCAAGAGGCCGCCATCTTCAAACCACTCTGTAAAGCTTGGAATCTGCCTGTGTTTCTGCTGCCCCACAACATTTCAAATGAAAAATAAGAAAACGCGACTTATTTCTATTATTCAAATTCAGCATTGAAAAAAAACTATTGATCCATACCTTAAGAGATATATATAAATAGGGATATGTATATTAGATACATGTATGGAGCTAATCGCGGATTGGAGAAATACACGGAAAAATATTCTTTTTACGTGACGTCACGAGAGTGCTAGCTAGTTCGCGAGCCTATTCTACCATCATAATATTTCTATGTTAACATTTCGCTATGAATAACAAACCTTGATGCATGAAACATGATGAAAATGATGAACATTGCAAATGATTACTATATATATATATTTTAAGGCATTATATCAGAGATTTAATCATGATAGGTTTATGCAGATATAGCATGCGTACCTAAGTTTGAATGAACGATGTATTGTACTATGATGTAATAATTAACTTAGCATATTGTCGTATGAAACGCTATGGCTGTGTGAATAACGCTCAAGATACTAGTACTACTAGCTAGTATGACTACTACGGTCAGTATACTACTGACTTACTACTAGGCTATTCTATATATATATTATGAATCAATAGTATTGAAAGATAGATGATAGATAAAACGGCCTTATCTGGCACAGAATTAGATTCGGGGTCTAAGGTTAAAGTAGTAGCACATGTCGCGTTCAAGGATAGGGAAACATTCTATCCAATAAACCGAATTCATTGTACATCTAGTATATAAATATAATATTATATCAATATAATAGATTAGCGTTATGGTTAGGCTTGGCCGTTAGGGTTAGAATTCGGGTGTAGAATTAGGGTTGAGGGTTTAGGTTATCGGCACTATTGTTTTATTTTGTAATGGGTTGGATCCTTACGGTGATTCGTGTTTGCGTCTCCGGCCGTTATGTAGGAATGAAGCAACCCCGCAGTCGATCCCATGCGCGTCGCTTATATACCGCTGGCAAGTCGTCGCCTTGCCTGGCTTGCCGCGGAATCTAGGTTGTAGGCTGAGTGTGAATCCTTGCCGGGTTGAGAAGCGCCGCAGTGTCATGACAGTAATCAACCCAAACGGGGGATACCCGAACTAGCCGCACGCCATTCGGAAAGGACCCATCAAACTCCCGCGGGGACAGTCCAACCAACGCCACGAGCGGGAGTTCCAAACAACTCCGCAGGGAGTTCCAAACAACTCCGCAGGGGAGTCTCAACGCACTCCGGCGGGGGCAGTCTCAGCAAACTTCGGTGGGAGGGAGGTCTCCACACGAACTCCGGGGGAGCGGGACGTTCACACAAACTCCCGGGCGCGGATTACCACAAACGGCTGCGGGGCGAGAGTTACACAAAACTCGCGGGGGGAGTCTCCACAACTCCGCGGGGGAGTTACACAAACTGCCGCGCGGGGAGTTACCACAAACTCCGCGGACGGATCTCCACAAGAGAGCTCCGCTGCGCGGCGGGGCGGATTTTACCAGCCAACTCGCCTTGGATTGAAACCAATCACGTGGTGTGTGTACGAAAGAGGAGACATTAGAATCAGACAAGCGGGAGGATGAATTACTTTATGCAGGTCGTATTCAAATCTCGAACCAACGGCGTGTGGTAATCAAAGGAAGAACAGTTAAACTACACTTACATAGTGCTGGTGCCGCGGATCGGGTCGTCGTTAAATATAGGTGACTCATGACAAATTAGAACGTGACACCAGTAAGGAGCCGGCTCAAGGCGACGGACCCGTCGGAGATGGAGTCGCGATGGGACCCAAGCAGGAAATCCGAAGTCGTGACGGGGGAATCCATCGAAATCTAACCTAAAGTCGCCGGATTTAAAATCCGCCAAAACCTTAGCTAAAGTCGCGGAGGTGTCCGCAGCTGAAATCCATTGAACCTCGTTCAAGAACTAGGGGACTTGAGTGGCGGTACGGCATGGTGCTAAACGCCCTCCGAGATGTTGGAGATGCCCTGGGGGGTCGTGCGGAACGAATCATCAGCTAGCCTGGGGTTGAGCCCGTCAGCCAGTCTACCGCCGGTTCCCGGCTGGAGGTCGACGATTGGAGAGCAGATCGATAGCGTGAAGTACTCAACCACGCCACAGCACACAAAATGTTTCAATGTTGCGTGTAGCCCATATTTGGTTGGTAGAGTGTGGGGGTAGTCAGGTGGGTGGGGAGTTAGCTACATTAATTTTACATCATGAGCACAATACAACTTTTACAAGTACCTAGCTCAAAAACTCTCGCGTCTTGCTAGGTTAGAATGATAGACAATATTATATTATATGTATAGGTTATACATATATATATACGATATATACAATATTATTATGTATATTAATATATATATTATACTGTCCTTGGGTCCGCCCACACTGGAATGATGCTATAACAAGCTTGGAGCACCTTATTGATAAAGGGACATAGAGCTCCTTGAAAAAGTTCAGAACGAGGACTAACTTAGGAAGGATTTGGCGCTAGCTTGTCATACCAGCAAAGACTACAAAGGCTGAATCCTACTACTCTAGCAGCACGCGTAGAGAGAGAGCTGAGTCTTATCGGCACCTATAGATTATGACAGGCTTGGAGAATACTTGATCATAGCGACATTTTTTCACCTGCTAATCCTGTCCACCACAGATGGTCACAGCATGAACTGCTAACAAAGAGCGCAGTCGTCTCGATATTACGGAAACAGTTTTTCTCTCAGAGGAGTGTATTGACAGCGTGGAACAGCCTTCCCAACATGGGTGTTAGGTTGCCGGCAAAAGACTTGCGCGTGCATCATTTGTAAAAAGGTCGGAATTAGGCCGCTATTGGACGAGTTCGAGGCTTGCTTTGTGATTAAGCCGCAAGCTGCCTAACCCTTGGATTAGCCATACAACACTTGATCGTGATGTCTGTCGGGGGCCTGTGTTTAAAAACGCAAGTAAAGAATCCAGTAAATACATCGGGCCGCACAGCTTTGTCTGGGGCCTTCAGTACAAGCTACATAGCGGATCTGCCTTTGCCTACAGCCTTGCTAAACACACACAACATACCCAGCCTGGCACAGGGAGCTATGTCAGCCGATGACACGGCGGAACACATGGCGGGGGATGGTTACCACACAAAACATAAAAAAAATTACAGGACTGCTAGGGCCTGACTGCCGCTAACGTTATCAGGGGTCGGTTTATAAAATCAGAAAGGCGAATTTCTGAATTATTGCTTACCAAGACTATTAAACATATAAAATGCATAGACATAGCGTTCATTCAACTACAAAATAGCGCCACTACTACTGTAGTTTAGATTATACAATCGGCCTGTATGTCCAATTACGCCTCGCCCTGGCCGATCGTCCACAAACAGTTGATCATAGGTTACGACATTACGTATAATAATGCTGTTTTTATCATGAAATTGTGCCCAGTATAATGACTAACTTTTACAAATGAAAATGTCCTTCCACCATTCCTTAACCTGCTGGTTAGTGCAGGTTTATGGCTGACAGGCATGGCCATTCTTTTTTTTATCTAACAAATAAATCTAAAATGTTATTTCTCGCAGACGCAGAGTTGCCTATATAATTAATTGCTAGCAGAACGTTCGCAGCTAGATCGGATCCGTCTTTCATACGAATGGTTACTAAGAATTAATATAATTCGGATAGAAATAAAGAGCTACGAAGTGTGACGTCACGTTGCAAGACAAAAAAAAAAAAATCAGCCCAATAAAAAAAAAGGAAAAAAAAAAAAAAAAAAACAAAAAAAAAAAAAAAAAAAAAAAAAACCAAAAACTAGAATAAAAAAAGAAAAAAAAAAAAAAAAGAAAAATAAAAACCCAATATGACAACGCACGGGCTGGTTCTAACACAAGCACTGCGCTCCATAGTTTACTGCCTGTGAAAATGTTTGCTGCCGCTACGTAAAACACGAGTGTGCTGCTCTGCAGACAGCGTAAAGCATCGGTGCAAGTCGATCTTACAATATTTAAATGAATTTTAAAAAAAATTTTAATTTTTTTTTTAAAATTTTTTTGTTGCTTAATTATTTTATTTTTTTTTGTTGCTTTTCACTTCGCATCCTTAGCGAAATCTATAAAAACTGCAAATAATGACTCTCAGAATGAATTGGTTACAAGTCGCGGTACAAAAACACGACACGTAGTATTAATGTTACCAGAGCATATGATTGTGCTTAGAACCAGCAGGCTCGTTGTCATGCCACCGTGACGTCATCACTCGGTACTCTATAGGCTCGACTAGCTAAGCACGTGACTCGATGACGTCACGTAAAAAAATTATTTTTCGCCAGCCCCCCTCCCCCCTGTATTCGTCGTTCCCTTAGCTCCATAACATGTATCTAATATAGCATATCCATATTTATATATCTCTTAGTATGGATCAAGTTTTTATTTTCATGCTAATTTGAATAATAGATAAGTCGCGTTTTCTTATTCTTCTTTGAATGTTGTTGGGGCACAGACGCGGCAGATTCAGCTTTACAGAGTGGTTGGAAGATGGCGCCTCTTGCGTCACTGCTATAGGCCAATGCTCTATCCAGATTATATTATAGAGCATCAGTGATTGGCCTATCGCCGCTTAACATTGACGCAGTGACGCCAGAGCCCATCTTCCAACACTCTGTAAGCTGAATCTGCCGCGTCTTGCCCGCCACAACATCTTCAAACGAAATCAAGAAAACGCGACTTATTCGATTATTCAAATTAGCATGAAAAAAAACTTTGATCCAACTAGAGATTATTAAATATGGATATGCTATATAGAATACATGTATGGGCCTAAAGGGAACGAGAAATACACAAAATTTTTTACGTGACGTCACGAGACACGCTGCTAGCTAAGTTCGGCCCAGCCTATTCAACAATTAATTAATAATTCTTATGTATACCATTCGTATGAAAACAAACCAAGATGATGCAAACATGATGAAATGCATGTAAACATGAGAAAGATTATATTATATAAATATATATTTATTCTTATTTATAAGGGCATATAGGCTGTAGCATAAGCATACATAGCGACCTACATATAATACTAAAATTTACTATATACAATTTAATATATAGCATATAATATTATTGCCAACCAGGCGGCTGTAGAATAACGTCAATATACTACTCACTACGTACGTACGGTACTAGTTACTCAGGCTATTCTATATTTATATATTATATCAATCGATAGATGAAAGATTAGATGATGAATAAAACGTTATCTGGCGGACAGAATTCATTCGGCCAGGTAAATATAGCATATGTCTAGCATACATTATATAGGCCTACATAGCAATTATATAGCATTATATAATGATATAGCCAATATATAGCACTAATATAATGATATACTTAGCATATATAGCATCATTACAGACAAGCCAAACAGCACCAGTCCGCCCAATATTGGCCCCAATATCGGTTAATCTTGGCCACCCAATAATATTGGTCCTGACAATTCCAATATCGGCCTGACCCCCGCGCTGCACTTTGCGCCCGACATCGGGTTTAACTGGCATCGCAGGTTGGCAGTGAATAATGGCTATGGGCTAATGATACACTGTTCCTTGAATCATCACGTGTGTAGGGCGCTGCGCATTTTGCAAGTGAAAAAGATGTATATTAATTAGCTGGCTTCAATAAAAATTTATTAAAAATGTCGAAATGCATATTTTAACATTTGAGCATAACCATTTGCTCCGTCGCCCGCCAACACAGACGTCGGCCTTGCGACTGCGCACGCCAGGTTACCATCCGCCCCGCCACTGCTGTAGGCAGTGCGGCTGGACCGATGTTGCGAGCGTCTTTGCGGCTCCACTTCTTTCTCTGCCGAGCAGTCCATGTGCCAATGTGTACACGCCACACTGCCCGCAAACAACCGCCTGCGCGCTAGCGGTCGCACCGCGGCCGCTTCCCACTCGCGCGCACGCAAGACCAGGCGCGGCGAAACCACGCCGACGGCACTCGTAGGGCTGCTCCGGCGAGCCAATGCGCCGGTGTACTTCGAGCCGACTCGAGCAACCCACCGCAACGCGAGACGACCAGCATCCGCGCGCGGGATCGCCACGAGCGTGGTTCAGCGTGCGGCGCTCAGCGACCGCAGAACGACGTGCCGTCGTGTCGCATGCCAACGTCGTCGCGGAGACGGGAATGCGGCGAGCTTGCCGCGCATCCTGATGACAGCTCCTCTCACTCACATCCAAGACTCGTACAGGACGATGCTGCTGCTGCTGCCTCCGACTACTGCGTCTTCCACCGCTGCGGCCGTTGCCTTCGCTGGCAACGCGGAGCATTTGCGCAAGGAACTCTTCTCAGCGTTATCGGTGGTTTCCGGGCAGCCGAGGGTTTGAAACTTCTTCTAGACCCGGTTCCGCCGCGCACCGTCACTCTCTGAGGCATGTTCGACGACAGAGTGCCTCGTTCGAATGTCGCGTCATTTCGCTGACTCCACGCGCCGGCCGTCCTTCAAATTCTGTGAAGCATTCCTCTGGAATGTATTCGGTCATTACGGTACAATCTATGGGTATCAAGCATGGATAGTTTGGGACCCCACAAATGTGTTTGCACATGTGTGCTAAACTAATCTGGGGTGCCAAAACTAGGCTTGGGACATATATGCAGATTAAGGCATAGTTTGCAGCTATGTCCAGAATAGAATCTTATCTATACTTACGCGATAATATTTATACAATGATGTACCAATCTGAATCTCGAAGGCTTGAGTTGTTTACCTTTTTCGTAATTGTATCCCCCGCGACGAAGTCGGCGGGGATACTATGGTTTCATGTCTCCCCAGCCGTCGCCGCAGACAATTTCCCTTCCGCTCTATAACTCGACCCCTAATTCACCTAGCGCTACCAAACATGGTCTACTTACACATCTTGGGTAGAAGGTGTGCAGAGTACCAAAACCAGATCACTGCAACCTTTATTTGACCTTTACCTGGACTTTGATAATATTTTCCTTCCGCTCTCTAACTCGGCCCCTAATTGACCTAGCGCAACCAAACTTGGTATACTTACACATCTTGGGGAGAAGGTGAGCAGCGTACTAAAACCAGGTCACTGCGACCTTTATTTGATCTTTACCTTGACCTTGATCATATTTCCCTTCCGCTCTCTAACTCGGCCCCTAATTGATCTAGCGCTACCAAACTTGGTATACTTACACATCTTGGGGAGAAGGTGCGCAGCGTACAAAAACCAGGTCACTGCGACCTTTATTTGACATTTACCTTGACTTTGATCATATTTTCCTTCTGCTCTATAACTCGGCCCCTAATTGACCTAGCGCTACCAAACTTGCTATACTTACACATCTTGGGGAGAATTTGTGTCACGTACCAAAACCAGGTGACTGCAGCTGTTATTTGACATTGACCTTGACCTTCATCATACTTTCCCTCTGCTCTATAACTCGGCCCCTAATTGAACTAGCGCGACCAGACTTGGTATACTTACACATCTTGGGGAGAAGGTGTGTCGTGTACCGAAACCAGGTCACTGCAACCTTTATTTGACATTGACCTTGACCTTGACCTTCATCATATTTTCCTTCTGCTCTATAACTCAGCCTCTAATTGACCTAGCATGACCAAACTTCGTATACTTACACATCTTGGGGAGAACACGGGGATACATGTAGTTGGCGACAACTGCCCTTTCTAGTTAGCTCATCTGACATAGTCAGATGCAGCTTGTAGAATCGCATGATCGTCCGTGCGTGCGTCCGGTCGTCCGTGCGTCCGTCCGTCCGTCCGTCAACAGTTGGGCACAAATCTTAACCGCTCGACGTACGGTCGCGATATTCGGGTCGTTGGGGGGGATCATCAAAACGAGTTGGGATGTCGAAGCTGGGGGTCAAAGGTCAAAGGTCAAGAGGTGTAAAAGAAGGGGGAACATTCACTCCTTAACTTAAGGTATAGG